TGTGGCACAGTAGGCCGGAAAGGCTGAGTTGTGGGCTGAAAGCACAGGCAGAACCAAGCTGATCACGTCGTCCTGTCTGCGACGTTAAAGAATTCTTGAGGAGATACGGGGGATCTCCTTAAATGCCTCCTGATCAGCCACTGGTTCAGTTGTGACAGCCATAGTGTGGGTCTAGGCTAGAGACCATAGTTGACGGGATCCCTGTCAGGATTCTGTGAGTCTTAGATTGAGTCAGTAGGTCTGTCAGTCAGGGGTTGACGTCTACGTGGTGAGGTTTGGAACCAGTTGTACACTTATCACTATGGTTGAGACCCGTAGTGGGAAGGAGACTAGCCCCTACACCACTGAGCAGCAAGAAAAGATGGTCGCCTTAGTCACAGAGAATAAGGAGAGGAAAGAGCGTGAAAAGCAAGCCAAGCTAAAGGCTATCGCAGACGAGCAGGCGGCGAAGATGAAGAGATTGGAGGAGGAGATGAAGAGGGTACAACAGGAGGAGGAAGAAAGAAGGAAGGCTGCTGAAGCAGAAGCGGCAGCAGAAGAAGAGAAAGAGAGGGAGACAGATACTGAGCTGGAGAAGAAGATCAGAGAGTGGGTCGCTAATTTATCGTTGGGGGAAGACGAGGAGGCGGAGTCCTATGTGACCAAGGATGAGAAGGCTACGCTGGCCGCTGAGCTAGCAGCCATGACAGACCCAATGGAACGAAGAGAGAGGGAAGACGAGCAAAAGTTAGCATGGAAGTCGAGAATGAAGAGGGAGAAGAAGAGGAGGAGAGAGGAAGTGAATAAGATGACCGCCGCAGTGACAAAGGTGCAGGAGTGTAGAGCGGAGGTGCTGGCCCAGCCAGATGATAAGGCCAAGTGGGACAAAGTACTGGGCTATCTAGAGGTGTTGAGCAAGGCCTAGATGGAGGAGCGCCAGGCAAGCTGGAGCCAGGATGTAGCGTTGAGTGCCATGCGGTCCGGGTTCAGGGATTTTGCGCGCGAAATGGTCACCCATATTGGGGGTGAAGTCAAGCAATTGAGAGACAACGTAGGGAAGTTTTGTGAGGGCGCCATTCAGGGTGCCAAAGCTGCAGCTGCTGTAGAAGGAGAGGCCAGACCCCGTAAGGACCCAGTGAAACTTAAGTTCCCAGACGCGTACGGGGGGAAGAAGGATGAGAACTTTGACAACTGGGAGGCCAATGTCAATAGTTACATTTATTTACAGCATATCCTAATGGAGAAGCAAGTCCTCGTGGCCTTCCAGGCCCTGAAGGACGAAGCGGGTAGCTTCGCGAGGTCTCTCGCGCGTACAGCCGGTTGTGAAAACAACCTGGTTGCGTATTCTAAAGTCACCCCTCTTTCCCAATTCCTCAGGCTCCTCAAGGAGCGTTTCACTGACCCAACGAGAGGCATAAGAGCCTCTGACAAGCTTCAAACGATCCACTTGCGACAGTGGAGGAGTGTCAAGGCACTCAAAGGTACCATGGACGACTTGGTAGCCGTCCCGGACCATGGGGTCACTGAGCCCCGGCTGGTTCAGTTGTTTTATCGTGCCATTCCAGAGGCCCTACGTGGGCATTTCTTTGACAAGTCTCAACAGGCCGGCATCACATACGATCAATTGAGTCGTGAAGTCGTCCTGTATGAGTCAAAGTCTATGCCAGTTACCACTTTCTGGCATAAGGACTTAGAGAAGGGGAAGAAGTGGAAGAATCGTACCATCTCAGTCCAAGTAAAGGCCAAGGATCACATGATCCTGACATTAGAAGAAGGTGGTACCGATGAGGTCCCATATGACCAGATTGAGTGGGGCCTTGAAGATGATGGCAGTCGTGTGGGGCAGGGGAGGTCTAACGCTGCTGTCGCGGCTGGAGGGAGGCCGCAAGGAGGAGGAGGAGGCCAGGGCCAAAGGGGCCAAGCCATGGGAGGCCGAGGACCGGGCGCACAGGGGTTGGCGGACAGGAAAACTGCCAAGCGGGAGGTAGGGGTCAAGGTCCCCCGTCAAATCGCCAGGGTAATCGGTCCGAACAACGAAGAAGTGGAAGGGCACCTCAAGGAGGTTGGCACCCAGGCTTGCCACAAGGCAGGCCCTGGGAAGACTCGGGCTTGGACCGGCAATTATGGCAGGAACGCGTGAACATGGGTCAGTGCGTATTTTGTGGTGACCCGGCGCACGTAATTAAATTTTGTCCTAAGTATAGACAGGCCCGTTGGGCTGCCCAGCAGTCAAAAGGCAGCCGCCAGTAGGGGTCGCAACTGCCCCTACTTCAAGGCCATGTGGAGAAGTAAGCGCGCACGAATAGGACACTCCCAACCCACATGAGCCTATGGCAGAGGTTGCAGGCCCGTGCCTAGATAGCTGTCCAAAGACTGCTTGTGTTAGCGTCTCTTTAGACACGTCCCGCACAGGTGTGGCAGAAGAGTTAAAGGAGAGGAGGCCAGCCTGGGCCAAAATGAAAAAGGAGAGTAAGGGACAGTTGATCTTAGTAGATGTAGAGGTGTTTAGGAGTACAGTAGGGGCCCTCATAGACTCAGGGGCTACCCGTAGTTATATTAGCCGTAGGGCGCTGAGGAAGCTGAGGCTAGGACTAAAGGTCCAGAAATTAGTAGACCCCATAGTCAGTGTCCTCGCAGACAACCGCACGATGCGCGTTGGGGACTATGTAGAGGGAGTCCAGGCGTACTTTCGCCTAGAGAAGGATGGGAAGGTGGAGAAAGTTCTCCATTCCCTGACTCTCCTCGCACAAGATGACCTTCCTTTTGATATAGTGTTGGGAATGGATTGGGGAGAGGCAGCAGGGGCCAC